TGTTTTGTTTTGTTTCATTTATTTTGAGAGGGACCCCAAGCAGGGGAGGGGCAGAGACACAGGGAGACGCAGAATCCGAAGCAGGCTCCGGGCTCTGAGCTGTCAGCCCAGAGCCCGACGCGGGGCTTTAACTCACGAACCGTGAGATCATCACGACCTGACCTGAACTTGGCCGCTAAAACCGACTGAGCCACCCAGGCGCCCCTGTTTTCTTTTTTAATGATTAAATGATTGAAAACGACAACAACAACCTAGCTGAAAGTTAAAAAGCCGACCTCAAGAAATGAGGTCACTAAGCTATTTTGCTTCGGTGCCAAGTACCTGCTTTCCTGCTCTTTCCCCTAACGTCCCGTCAGTGAGTTTTGCTCACTTTTATTTTATTGTTAGGCGAGGTTTAATTGGAAACCTGATGGTTTAGCAAACCTGCGTGCTTAGGGCGCTGACTAAATTTTGACACTCAGGCCAGTTCCCTTTCTGTTCTGGAGGATGGCGATTAGCGGATCGGTAGGTGAGACTCAACCCTCCTCGTAGCTCCTTCGGTTACAAGCGATGAAGGGTGTTGTATGTGCTACTTTAGCAACTTCCTCCCCGTGAAGGTGTCCCCGGCGACTAAAACCTTCGTTATCTCAATTCAATTAGGAAGCCATCTTGCACACGAAGACGGCTGCTCATCTCCCCTTCCCAGCGAGCTCTTTGTAATCCCCAGGTGCCATCCGCTTGGATGGCTTCGTGGACCTAAATTGTGGTTAATGTGCTGTGTTGTGTACCGTGCAGTATTAGCACCAAATAATCTGGCAACCAAATTAAAAGAGGCACTCAGAAGATTTTCAAGGATTTATAGTGAATTAGAAGCTCGGGTTTGGGGTCTGGCTATTACTGCCCTGTGGATTTGTGCAGAAATGGCATTGTCCCCTTGCCTGTAGTGGGCGTTTCCTCATTCTGTTAGTACTCCCCAAATAGCACCTGCAGATTACTTCGGGTGCCAGGCTCAGAGGGCCCTCACCCACCCTGCTGTCTAGTTGCCCAGCACTCTCCAGCGACCATACCCACGTACACATGAGAAGCGATGGAACGTGCTATCCGCTTCCGGCTGGAAGTGATCAGGGACGTTTCATCTCGAGTGGGCACAGCAGATGAGTGGGTGAGGGAAGGGCGTACTTCGGTCGTCCCGGATTCTCGCGCAAGCTAGCCCAGAGGCCTCCTGTTGACTTTAGTATACAGTGGCAGACACGAGGGAGTTTGAGGTGGTGCAGGCCCAAATGGACTGTGAGCGTCAGTCGGGTGGCAGAGGTTGGAGGAGTGGGTCAGAATCAGGCGAAGGGCCGTGAAGGATGGGAGCCTGGCGGGCGGGGAGGGCCAGGCAGGGGGACGGGCACAGGGAGGGAAGCATGGAGCCTCCAGCACCCCCCCGCCGGGGCGGGGGACAGGGTTGATGCTCATCAGGGGAGGCGTGAGATTCAGAGAGAAGGTTGCTGAGGATTAAGAAGGTGGGGCAACTCTGAAACCCCCATTTTTGAGGGGCGCCTGGGTGGCCCCGTCACTTAACCGTCCGACTTCGGCTCAGGTCATGATCTCGCAGTTTATGATCTTGAGCCCCGTGTCCAACTCTGTGCTGACGCTCGGAGCCTGGAGCCTGCTTCAGATTCTCTGCCTCTCTCCCTCCCTCTCTGCCCCTCCCCTGCTCGCACTCTGTCTCTCTCAAAAATAAACAAACATTAAAAAAATCTTCTTTAAAAAAGAAAACCCCGTATTTGAGACCGCTACTGGCCTGAAGAATGGCGCCACAGTGCAGAAGGGAGGAAACGATGAGCCAGTTTCTACAGCCTTCCAGAAAGGTGAACGGAGAGTAGCTTGAGGGTGGATACATACAACTGGGTGGAAACAGAGCGATGGCAGCTGATGGCAAGTGCTTCGCAAGAGGAGAAGTTCTGGTGGTGCCTGCGTGGCTCAGTCACTTAAGCATCCGACTCTTGGTTTCGGCTCAGGTCATGATCTCACAGTTCATAAGTTCAAGCTTATGTCAAGGACCTTGGGCTCTGCGCTGACAGCGTGGAGCCTGTATGGGATTCTCTCTCCCTCTCTGCTGTCTCTCAAAAACAAAAACAAAAAACGAGAAGTTCTCGATGGTTCACTGGCTGATCTCTTCCTCAGGGAGTCGTGGGGCAGGGGCAAGAAAAAGACCCCTGTTCGTTAAATGAGTACCCCTGCTTTGTTGCTGTTTGTTTTTGTTTTTGTTTTAATATGTAACAATGAGCATCTGAAAATTAGCTTGTAGCGTGCAAATATTTCATCATAACTTCCCGTTACTAATGTACTGTGATCTATTAGAGTACAGCATAGAGTCATTAACGATTAATTTGCACAGCAGATTATTCATGCAGAATTCCTAATAAAATGAGCTTTGAAATACTATCATTTAAAAACTTGCTAAAATGGGCCTTTACAGCAAATAATAAACTGTTTCGGAGTGGTGGCGAGTTTGAATCAAGGGTTTTATTCCTCAGGCCGTATGACCTCACAGACGGAACACTGGCCCCGTCCGGACGCAGGCCCCACTAGCCCCTCGTAGGTTGACCTGCTTTTCTGGCATTCGAGGGTGAGGTGCTTTGTGGGCTGTTGTTCTCCCAGCTTTTGTAAACTTGAACCTGACTGTAGCACGCAGCCCAAGAGCACCATTCACAGAGTCTCCTTTCTCCATCTCTGCCTCTTCGCTGAGATCGTTCTTCCCTGCCGTTCCTCTTGGGGTTTCATCTTTTCTTTTTCCCCTTTTTCCCCTAGAAACAGATGCAGTCAGACCCACATAAGCTGGACTTCGGATTGAAACCCGAGTTCCTGAGCCGCCCCCCAGGCCCCAGCCTCTTCGGAGCCATCCACCACCCCCATGACCTGGCCCGGCCTTCAACTTTGTTCTCTGCCGCTGGTGAGTTCCGAGCTGGAGGAAAGAGTTTTTGTTGAAGAGAACTCTTCTCTTCAAAGAGGAATGTTGTTCGCAGGTACGATTTCTGGGACGCCTGGGTGGCTCAGTCGGTTAGGCATCCGACTTCGGCTCGGGTGATGATCTCATGGTCCGTGAGTTCGAGCCCCGCATCGGGCTCTGGGCTGACAGCTTGGAGCCTGGAGCCCGCTTCAGATTTTGTGTCTCCCTCTCTCTCTGACCCTCCCCCGTTCATGCTCTGTCTCAAAAATAAATAAGCATTAAAAAAAAAACCCAAAACTACAATTTCTGCCAGCTTGCAAGGCAACATCCCAGTACGTCTAGGGAGACGGACCCTTCTTCACTGATACGCCCTCTTTCATTACAGAGAGAAAAAAAGATCATCTTTCTCTTCGGGGCCTCATGTTGCTTCGGCTCATTATTTGATCATAGAAAACTTGCAGGACGGGGTAGAAACACCTGAGGGATCTGTTCATTAACCTTCGAATGCCTCCTAGGTGTGCCAAAGCGGGGGCAGTTGGAACTGGGGGTCACTGCGTCAGAGAACGACCCGTTTCCGCTCCAAGGACATACAGACAAAAGGCAGCGGACACACAGCCGTAAGGTGCATCAGGAAACAAGAACAGCCCTCTCGGGATCAGAGGAGCCTTACCATCCAGGCCTTGGAAAGCCATTTTGCCGCACAGAGCTCCGCTCACTAATACTTGCAAATGGCGACGCTGCGCTCAATCTGGTGACGAGCTTCATAACTTCATACCCACCGTGCTAAGTAGAATTTATTCTTCTGGACATAAATATTCACGGGGCTCCCCGTTCCTGGTCCGGAGGGAACAAGTTTCACATCCATCCTGCCTGCTGCCTTCCCAGGCTTTTATCCAAGACTCATTTTGGGTTGACCTAAGGCTCTTCCATTCAGAAAGAGAGAGACTCCCCCATTGCAAGAAATCATCATTATAATGGGCCTTGTTGCCAAAGCAAGTGAGTCACCCTTGAGGGTAGATGGAATTTGCTAAGGTCTCAGGTTTTGCTCTGTGAGTTCTGTCTAGGGACGTATTTGAAAGCTTTGTTACCATGGCACCTAGGCTCTGAGACAGAGCTACACTAAGAGCAATTTTTGGAGAGAAATAGAGAGATTTCTCCCTGGCTTCCGTTTGAGCCAAGTGGATGAATTGGCTGCTTTTGCTTCAATAATTCTGGAACTGCAAGGCACCCCTGGGGGCCCTGGGCTGAGCAGAGCTCCCAATCTTCATCGAAGCATTAATTAGCTTGTACTACACAGGCTGTGCAGCCACATTTTTATTTAGCTGGCAACACTGTTAACACCTAATGAATATTCTGGACCGTGTTCGCTTGGTAGAGATGGAGTATCATTTTTGCATTGCCTGGGTGGAGTTATCGATAAGTCACCGTCCAGGACTGAACGGATGACTCCTCAGGTGCCTTCCAATTCTCTGAGTCCGTGACTGTGACAGACGTCCTCCCGGGTTCCATGGCTTCCTCCACGCCCGAGGCCCCACGAAGACCTTGTAGTCCAGGGAGCAGTGACCCAGAGCATCAACTGAGTTCACAGGGTTTCGGGAGGGACAGCACTCCTCCATTTGATCTGTCTTCCTGAGGGAATTTATAGTCGTTTGTAGCAACTTAGACAAAATGCAAGAGATTGTGGAGAAGTGAAAAGTCTCTTCATGGAGGCCCTGTGTATACATCCGTTCCGGGAGGCCATCTTTCTCGGTATGAGCATCACTGGATTTTGCCCCCGAATGATAATTTGGTGAAACTTTGAGCCGCGGTGTCTAATTCACACACGCACGTGTTAAATGCAGCCACTTTCAGCTTGCTGTTGGGCACTGATGCCTGAAATAAGCTTAGGACGCTCCCTCCGGTGAGCCCGGCCAGTCTCTTCTCTGAAGCCGGGCCTGCCGCCCCGGGAGCCGGGATGCCCTCAGCCTTTAGGAATGTGGGCCTCCCCTGCCTCCTGTGCACGCACCCTGTGTCTGTCCTCTCCCTCTTGCCTTCCCCCGCTTCCTCCAGGAAAAGGAGGCTGTGGCATCTTGAAGAAACACATTCTGATGGGGAAACCAAAGGAAAGGAGACGGCTGAACTAGCACTAAGGTCCCTGGCGGGCAGGTTACTGGTGTCCACAAACACGGACCAAAGGAGCTTTTCCTAGCACCGAAGCCGGAGAGCTGCCTGAAGGCACTCACGTCCTGTCACCTGGTGCAACGCACGATCCCGGGTTCCGTAGGGCCAGGCCTTGTAACGCCCTTCCTGACAGCTAACACGTGCCTCGGGAAAGGGGTTCCGTGGGGCAAGGCACCGTGGCCCGGACCCACCGCTGCGCGACAGCCACTCCCAAGGACCGTAAAATGTGGTTTCAGGCTCAGTGTTCCTCAGAGTGAAAGACCTGCCCCCCCAACATGCTCCGCGAAGAAAGTATCCCGTGGCCAAATGCTCCCCTTTCAGAAAACGAGCCCAGGAACACGCTAACGGCTCTGAGAAGTCCTTCAGTGAAGAACCTCGCTTAGCACTTTGTAACTGGGCGTTTCTTCAAACTCCTTTGGTTACAGGATCACCCCCCTCGCCCCTACCCTTACGCTATCTCCCCACACTTCTCAGGCTGCGTGTCCGCATCTTGAAAAAGTAACGCCCCGTTTTGGGGGTGGCCAGCCCCGCCCGGAGAAAGGGCACGGCTGGGTTTTCTGCTCCCTAACAGGACCCTGTCGTCTCCCGGTGTGTGGCCGGGGTGCCCTTCCGTTAACGCGTTTCTTCCCGAGTGTTCTCCCGGGGCCCTGACGCAGTGAGGAGCCGGCCGCATGGTAGGAACTGGCATTCTGCGAAGCCTGACCCCACCATGTCTGACTTTCTAGGTGCTGCACACCCAACCGGGACCCCTTTCGGGCCACCGCCTCATCACAGCAACTTCCTTAACCCTGCCGCTCACCTGGGTGAGTTGCCCGCGGTGATGGGAAATGACGCGCGTGTCTCAGAAAACCTTTGTTTTCTGCTGTGCTTCCGGGCAAGTCGGCCATGGTCCTAGACACCTCCCTGACCACGTGGGGCGATGAGGGCCCTTGGGAACAAGTTTCAGCACCTGCTGTCCACCCTCGGGGTGTCTCAGCACCCCTGTTGCCACCTCCTTAAAGTAGTAGCTGCGTGCTCCATAGCCGTCCCACCCGAAGGGACTGATGGCACAGTGGGCACGTGCCCGGCCACCTCCGGGAATCCACGTTTACGATGGCCGCTTCCCGCCCAGCGGGGCAAGGTGATGTGGTGAGGAGACATTGCCTGCTATGTTATAATCCCTTCTCCTTTCACCGTGAGTAGGTCTCCCTCGCAAAGGCGTACGCTTTCTTTGCGGCCTTGATTTATTTGATATTTCCTGCGAATGTGACAAGCAGGTGCAGGCAATGGTGTATACGCAGTGCAGCGACAGCGTGTATAATACGCACGACTTCGGCGCTTCGTCACTGAGAGACTCATTTTAAGATGTCATTTATTTGTTCTGTTAGAACTTACAGGGCAGGAGGGCGTCCTAAGACACTGCTGGGCCTGAGTGATAGTCCCCACCCGGCAAGAGGAATGGGGCAAAAGGCACAGTTCTGGAAAGACCGCTCTCGTAAATATTTTGCTAATCCAGTGCCCAAATCCGAGCGCACCGAAAACCTTTTGCGCAACCTGGTAGCAGCAGGAGGGACACGTCGGGTCCGAGTAGAGAGAGGGCGGGGCTCCCACATCTCTTTCCCACCTGCCTGGAAGCTCTTTGTGCTCCTCACTCAGTCCAGTCCAACCTTTTCCTTCCTCCCCATGTGTTTGCAGAGCCTTTTAACCGTCCGTCTACGTTCACTGGCCTCGCAGCGGTTGGTGGCAATGCCTTCGGGGGACTTGGAAATCCTTCAGTTAGTGAGTACCTCTAACTTTTTAAAATCCGCCCTGGACTCTTTGTCTCCTCTGATCTGTCTGTGGCTCAAGACCTTTCTAGCGAAAAGGAAACGATCCTCTTGGGAAACACATTGGCTTACATCACCGCAAAGGCAGGCCTCAGCGGTGGAGGTTAGGGGTGAGGGTGCATTTACGTCGAAAGCAACGTCTCAAGGGTAACCCATCGTGACTATGTCCTCCTGGGCATCAGGAGCAGTGACGTCACTGACTGAACTCCCAAAACATTGCTTAAGCTCAGTCTCCTCCGTATTCCATCCCTGCTATCCACGACTTTAGCCACAGTCCCATTGCAGGGGGGAATTTTGCACTCACCTGGCCTCTGGCATTATGGCACTGAGAGAACTTGACGGGAAATAGCGGGAAAACAGTACCAGGCTGAGGCTAGCTAGCTGGCAACACGTCATAGTCCATCATCTGGGAGGGCCATGTCGTTTTCGACGAAAAAAGTATCTAGAAGGGGAAGAGTTGTGGCACCTGCTCGTTTTTTAGTCACTGAATTCTCTAGCCGCTGAACACGCCACACGTTTACTTTCGTGCCATCCATAGATCATGTTCTCCTGGCCCCGGAGGCCCCAAGTCAACTCTAAGCTCGCCCTCCCGACTCTGTCCGGCGCGGAGACCTTCCGCGTCTGCTTAGGTCAAGGCCCTGCCCGGGCTGTGACGTCACCTGTCTCCGCCTGCTACCGCTGCGGGAGCAGCGGCGGTCCCATTCGCGGGGCTGTGGGTAGAGGCTCGGCTTGACCGTGCCTCCGTGCCGAGCGTTGTTCCTCCCAAGTCACCCCACGAGAGTGCACCACGCTCGGGGTTTCTGCATGCACCAGACGTGTTTGATGGGGCGCTCTTGACACCCATCTGGCCCCTTTCCTTTTTAAAGCTCCCCCTCCCGCCCCCCTCGCCTTTGGTTTAAGAACAAAAGCTGCGAGCTACCCCTCCAGCGTAGGACGAGCGCTCCTCTAATGAATCTGTTAATCTCCTTTCCTTTTCCAGCTCCCCATAATATGTATTCATTTTAACTCTGAGTGCTGTTAAAAGTTTTTTGGTAAGTACCTTCATTACGGCAGATTATATAATTTCTCTTAAACCTTTTTGTTCTCCACTTCACCATTTCAGCACCCAACTCAATGTTCGGCCACAAGGATGGCCCCAGTGTGCAGAACTTTAGCAGCCCTCACGAGCCCTGGAACCGGCTGCACCGAACGCCTCCGTCGTTCCCGACCCCTCCGCCCTGGCTGAAGCCAGGCGAGCTGGAGCGTAGCGCGTCCGCTGCAGCTCATGACAGAGATAGAGACGTAGATAAACGAGACTCATCTGTTAGTAAAGATGACAAAGAAAGGTACGGAAAGAAACCGTTCTCGAGCCCCAATGGGGAAGCCCGCTGGGTGCCAAGGGCAGCCGTCCACCCTCCCCGTCCCAGCCTCGTGCTCCAGCTGGCCCCGTGGCCTCAGCTCCTCGCTCCGCCCGAGGCCGGCCCCCAAGTCCCCGAGCGCACCCCCTCGGCCCCGTAGTGCACCGCGACCGTAGCATGAAATCGCAGCACAGCGAGAGCGTCCCGACTCAGACACAGATGCACACTTAGAGCCTCCGAGGTCCCTGTGAGCGTTAGCGTATCCAAATATAAATCTTGCTCTCAAAGACAGTGAGTTGGAGCTTTGGACCAAACACACACGGCATGAATCAATACCATATTTGCTTTCAAGTTCGTGCAGTCCATTAAATCATCCATAGGTTTTTTTCTCTGTCTCCCTCCCTCCCCGCCTCTCTCTCTCTCTCTCTCTCTTTCTTTTTGTTTGCTTTTAGAAAGTCACGTTTGCATTGTCTCGTCACATTTTTCTCAAATTTCGTTCAAACTCAAACCCTGGGCTCACAGATGACTAATAAAGTTTTGCAAACCTACACATAGAGGAGTGCCGGCAAGCATTTCTGGTGTGGGTTTTGTTTTGCCAGTGGATAATTAACCTGACTAACCATTTTTTTTTTTTTTTTTTTTAATCTCTGTGCTTGGTAACCCATGCCCGAAAAAGAAACGGCCTTAAAGAGGAAGACGTCTCAGAGCATTTTCTCTGAAGAATGTCATCCCTTTCTGATTTCTTTCTGTAGGAGACTTTCATTTTGAATGACCTGAAAAAAGCAGGGGAAAGACAAGATATGCTTGACAGAAAATACCTAATAACGCTCTGCTTTGGTACTTAAGTCTCAAATATCCAAATCTTCCAGTTTTCTTTACTATGTGTGGGGTGTATGTGTGTGTGTGTGTGTGTGTGTGTGTGTGTGTGTGTGTGCACGCGTGCTCACTAGTGATTGAAAAGAATTCAACTTTACGGACTCTGAATGTGTCCGATTAGTATGTGTTCCTCGGAGGTCATCCTTCTGATTTCTTTCTTAGAAAAGAAAAGAATCCATTTTTCCTTCAAGACAGTATGTTACAAATCTCTTACCCAGCGGAAGGACCGTTTATGGCGTTCAGCATTCAGCTGTCGACTGCCAAAGAGAGGCGGGCGCACCCGGCACCCGGAGCTTTGGGTAGCCTGCCAGGGCACAGAAGACCATGCGACAGCAAACCTTTCCACGTTTTTCTTAGTGGAGTCAAACGGCCTTTTGGATTAAAGTCAGGAAACTTAGTAAAACACACTCTTCTTTGTCCGTCACCTTTTAGACTCTTCTCTTCCTCTTCTTAGCCTTGCATGCTGGCTATAGAGACCAGATCCGCAGGGGAACCCTCCTTAATTCTCTCGCCGCAGACTACCCTCGCCTGGGAGCCTTGCTGCTACCGGGCCGGCGAGGCATCTTGCTCCTCCCCTTGGCCACGTCCTGTCTCGGGGCTGTCCCCACGACACGCCCAGGCCTGTCTTACGTCTCCCAAGTCGGCCTCTGTTGTCCTTCTGTCGCTCTGAATCTTCTGCCCTGTGCTCTTAAGTCCCTCATCCCAAACGGGTCCCCCAAGTTCTTGTTCCACACTTCCATTCACAGGGGCTCTTAAAGTGGTTCTCCATTTGTCCCCCAAGGCCTGGGGACCCCACTCTGCCTCCCAGCTTCCCTCCCATCTTCTCAGATTCGGGCTTTCTTGCCCTTCCTAAGGTATAAGTGCTATTTGGGACCCCCAGGCCCTGACGTCATGGTCTCCCTTCAAAGCCCCCTCACATGCTGTGCCCCAGAGATCACTCTGCATCTGTGCCCTTGGCTGTGACGCAGGTCCCTCGTCCCGATGCCGGGAGATCGAAGCCCCTTGCACCCTTCCTCCCTCTGGCTCTGTTATCGCAAAGATCGTCTTTGCATTTGGGCTCTTAGAACTTTCTTCTTACCACTCAGTGACCCTAGGAATCCAGACAGGCAGGCTGTGTTGCCACATCACTGTTGGCCACGTTGGTCCATTTCCACCCTCCGAAAGCGCTTCGTCTGTGGCCTTGACGGAGGCACGTGAATCTCACATGCAGAGAGAATTGTTTCCCCCTCAGACTCTCCCACCTGCCCCCCACCC